GCATGTAAATGGAGTAGGCGGCTGTCTGTGTGGTGACCTGAGGGACCCTAGCAAAGGTTTCTTTAACCAAAAACATGCTCTTTGTTGGCCAGCTTCTGTCTCAGGTTCCTGAAATTTTCATCATTGGTTATTAGTTGTGATCATGTCTTTGTGAACGTTCCAATGTCACTTTTTCTGCAAGTGAGATCATGTTAAGGACAAATACTCTAGTTTGACTTTAGTTTATCAATTCGTTAGGGAAAAAATGGGGTTTTAAGGGAATGGGACATAGGAAAGGGAACAAGGTCTGATTGGTGTCATGACTGGGGCCCTGATGCAGAGTACCTGGGCAGGGTGGAAAGTCGATGGCCCTAAAAGGAATAAAAATATGCATAAAGCAGTCATAAGGGAAATGGGCAAAAAGAGTGTCATATTTTGACTTTTTCCTGTGTTGCCTTAGGAGCTGGCCCCAAATACAGCTGAGTAAGCCAGTATTTTGCAATAATTATATTCACTTCAACAAACTTTAAAGTGCTTGCTGTGTCCAGAGCATTATACTTGATGCTGAGCACTGTCATAGGCTGTGCTCGTTCCTAGTAGTATGTGGGATTCTTAGGGAAATGTATATCCGTTGCTTCAGTACCTGAGGGTCCCATCGTAGCTAAGTGGTACAGTTGGATGAGAACTGGGGTGGAAGAAGGGAAGATCTGAGTCCAAGACCATCCTCAGACATGTCCTAGATGTGTGACCCTGGACAAATGACTTAACCTCTGTCTGCCTCAGTTTCCCCATCTATAAAATGGAGATAGTAGCACCTACCTCTCAGGATTGTTATGAAGATCAAAAGAGATAATATTTATAAAATGCTTAGCACAATACCTGGCACATAGTAGGCTCTTAATAAATATTTGATCCCTTCCCCATGGAATTCCAACAGAAGAGAATTACCTTAGGGCCGATATACCTCCCTAAACAGCCTGCTACCAAGAGGGATTTCCTAAGGCACTGGGAAAGAGAAAAGAGCTCAAAGTATAGAAAATGAATGGAGCATTACTGTGTCCATTCAGAGGAGCCAGATCCTTGGTTTTAGGCAGAAGGATCTCGACTTCAGTAAATTGGATTTTTGTCACTGACACCTAAGTGCCACTTCTGTAGCACACTGCTGGGGGGAAATACTGAAAAGAACTTGTTAAATAGGTCTGCTCTCTAGTCCAGCAAAACTGCGTTGATGCCATAACGAGCTGGTGGTCTGCCTCCCTTTCTCCTGCACCCTTTCAGGCTTTTGAAGTGTGGCCTTCTCAAGTTCTGTTAGCCAAATCAATTCATTGCCCTCTAAGATGTCAGTGCTGGGGAGTTCATTGAAACCTGGAAATCTGACAGCTTTTGGCCTTCCTCATTTCCATTCAGCCACTTGAAGGAGATGGCCAACAAGCAAGGCAGATAAAAGAAGTCATTTAGACCTAGGTTTCAGATAAAAGACTGGAGGTTCATGAAATGTTCCAGTGTAACAATGTAGCTTCTGTTCTGAGCTGCAAAAAGCATTAGAATATGAACAAAAGAATGGTCACTGTGGAGCCTGCTAGGTCTCTGACCCCTGCTATGTGTTATGAGCCAAGTCTGAGGATTTGGGCATCCCCTAAGCAATGACAATCCACCTGACATTGTTTCTTCCGCTTCCTCTGCTGTCTCTTCTACCTTAATTTGGACTGAACCTATCTTATTGCTGAGGAAAGGTTATGGAAAGCCAGCATCAGGTTAAAGTTGGTTAAACAGACCATAGTAGATCTTATCTCTACTCTAGGTTAATATGCTCCCATATTCTCTGTCCTCTAAATGAATATACTCTCTTCTTAAAAACACATTGAAATTCATTTCTAATGGAGGAAAAGGATGTGAGATTTTATAATTCACATTGGGTATCAGGAAGAAAATATACATCTGTTTTCCTCCGATAATATAAAAAGAGAACTGTGTGTGTGGGTGTACTGTGTGCTTTTCTCATATACTTTCAATGATAACAGCATTAATTTGTGATTCTTTTACTCATCATCTCACATGCTATTAGCATTCTCTAAACAATATTTATATTTCAAAGTCAACATTAATTAAGTTTCTCAACCCAAATGAAAATACCTATAGGAAGAAAAAAAAACCCAATCCTGTATAGCATCAGATAGGATAAAATCTTTGAAAGGACAGAATAGTTCAGTCACTATGAGGGCAGATTTAAAGATAGTATAGTAATTATGTACTAGATAAGTCATATTTACTCCAAAATGGATACATAGAAGTTTTGCTCTACTTGGCTTCTATAGGGAAAAAAATTCAGTATTTTTTTTTTTATTTTTCTAATCTTCAGCACATTTCTGTCTTACACTTTTTTGTTTTCCTAGGGGGTGTTTTTAATTATTATGTTACAAAGAGATTCAGTAGAGCTTATGAGTATTTGGCTTCTAGCCTTCTGGAGACCAGCCTAGATGGGTCTGACCCTCAGGTTTAGTGCCAAGCCATCCCATTGCTTCGTGGGAACTTGAGGAGACCCAGACTGACCCAGGATAATACTCAGTCTTAAGTATACTTAGTCACTTACTAGCTTGTGGCCCTGGGTAAGTCTTTTAATCCTGAACCTCAGTTTCCTCACTTATAAAAATGGAGATAATTGTACCTACCTTGAAGTGTTGTTGAGAGAATCAAATGACATAGTATTTGTAAAACATTTTGCAAACCTTAACTGTCACAGTCACTATCATTATTACTGTCAGTATTTGCCCAGTGTCACATGGCTGATAAGTGGCCAGACCAGGACTTGAACCCAGGTCTTCTAGATTCACATTCAGCGCTTTCTCCACTATACTGTATTTGGAAGAATCATGGAATTCTATGACTGAAAGGGATTTATGGATAGACTTTTTTTTTTTTTGGTTAAGCAGAGAATGGCTAGGCTGTGGAAGAATCTCCCTCCTTTGTTAATATAGCACTAATGGCAGCAACTCTTCTTATGAACAAAAACAATCTGACTGAGGTCAGTTCACCAATTTAGTAAAACTGGAGACTTGGAAGTTGGGCTTCTTTTATATTTTTATCATAATTGTTACGTGTGAGTTTTATCCTTTCAAAACATAAATGTTCCTTTTTAGGCTTTAGGGGGGCAAGGTTTTAGTGCTTTCCATTTTAGGGCTATAGCAAGAGAGTGCTGGGGACCATTGATGTACTTTATACCTATACCAATTAGTCCATCCTTAAAAAAAGGCAAACTTTCTGGGAAGAATATTTTCTTGTCTCCCTTTTTAACATATTCTAGTGCTTCACAGTTCCAATAGTTAGAAAGTTCTTTCTAATGGCCAACTTCCCACTATTTTAAGCCTAATATTTATTATATTGTCCTTGATGGAAATAGAAATTGGGACCCACAGGCCTTAAAAGGACTTAGTAGAACTGAAGTCCAGGCAGGGACTTTCCTGAATTGACTCTATGTGGGAAAAGAATTGCTTCTACTTCTTAGTGAAAAGAAATTTATTCACCAAAACCTCGTCATATGTGCCTGATAGGAATTCAAAGCCATGTTCAATTTATTAGGACAAAATACCCTATTTAAAGAAAAGTAAGAGCAAAAGAGGCCTCATTTACAGGGTATGTTTGGAGATTGATATAGGTGTTGCCATAGATTAGGCTTTTTAAAATACGGGAAGAATGATGGGAATATTTGGGGTGGATGAGTTGATGTGTAATGATACAAGAAAAGGAAAAAAAGGAAATGTGTGGGTGTTATATTGAATTATTTTATTAAACTAATGAATCTCTAGTACATAAGTTTTTACTTCTTTATAAACCCTCAACAATTCTTAATCAGAAACTATAAACCAGTTCCATAAAGCATTGTTAAGTGTTTCCACATGCTTCACTTTTAGGGAAAATGATCTGTAATAATATGGCGATGTGTTCCCATTAGAGTAACTATCATGTTAAGTAAGACATTAAGTTAAATGTTAAACCACATAAGCATTAACTTCATCACTACAGCCACTGAGTCTTTTGGGTGCAATAAATTGTAACACAGGCCTGGAGTTTGCCAGGATCTTGCAAGATGCTATTTGGTTAGAGTCTGCACTCAGGGTTAGATTACCAACTCTAGTTTTCTTGCTGTGATGGATTGATCATTATTTCAAATGATTCTAATAGCTAAGTACATAATAGTAATTACAGGTCACACAGACCTTTCTTACTCTTCACAGACCAATTATTTGATTTCTTCCTGAGATAAAGAAAATTGTAAAAGAGAATAGCAATTTATATAGAATTACTAAAAAAGAGGGTATCTAAAATATACAGTATTATAAAAATCCAATATTTCTAAAAGTTCCTTTTTTCCCTTTAGAACCTTTTGGACTAAATTTGTCTCAGTGTGGATGAATGCTTTTAAAGTAAGATCTAATTCACATTTGAGGAATGTCAGATAACTCACATGAAGAATGTTAGAAATGATAACTTAAGAAGAGAAAAATGGGTAAATAGTACACACACACACACACACACACACACACACACACACACACGCACACACACGCACACAGAGACTGAGTACTGGTTAACACTGGTATTAGCCATAGACATTTAACTATGCCAGTATCTAGGATCACCTATTCAAAATTATTGTAATAGTAGAATTGTTACCTTTCCAAAATATTTTACAAGTACAGTGCATGTATGTATGTTTCACACATACAGAGAGAGAAGGAGGAATGGGGGGGGGAGAGAGAGAGAGAGAGAGAGAGAGAGAGAGAGAGAGAGAGAGAGAGAACAAACCTAGAATGAAAAATAGGCTTTAATTCCTGAGTCAGAGCAATACTATGTATGTAAAAACTTTTCTTCAATTACATCTTCTATATGGAATGAATTCTCCAGTCTGCTTTAAAAGTTACAATACAGAGTAGATGGTCAAAGGAATATTATACTAGTGAGAAAGGTAGGGAGAAAGACATTCTTGGAAAGGAAGAAGGGGAAGGACAAAAATAATAACTTACATATCTGATGCTTTATAGTTTACAGGGTGTTTTACATGAATTCTGTTTGATCCTCCCAGTAACACTTTGAAGTAGGTTGTACAAGTCTTATCCGTATTTATAGATGAGAGAACTGAGGCTTAGTCAGAGTGGTTAAGTGATTTGTCCAGGTCCACTTAGCCAGTCAGGTCTTCAGACTTCAAATCCAGTACATTTTTGACTACGCCACCCTGCCTCTGCAGAAGAAAAGTGAATTATGTCTGCATCTCCTCCAGCATCCCATTCTGGTCACTCAACTCATATTCCAATCTCAAAGTCCCTGGTCTTGGAGTGTATTTCCTATCACCATAAGATTGAGAGGTTGAAATCACCATTTACCTCTTTCCTGATCTATTATAATAGCCTCCTAGTAAGACTCTTGGCATCCAGGCTCTACCCTCTTCAGTCCATCTTCCGCAAAACTGATAAAATAACCTTTGACCAGCATGAGCATGACCTGTTTCAGTCCACTATTTAAGAACCTTCTTCTGTGGCTCCCCATTGCCTTTAAGCTAAAATACAAATTCCTCGGCCTGGCATTTAAAATACTTCACAGTCTGGCTCCAGCCTGTCTTTTGAGTTTATTACACATTAAACCCCTTCACACACTCTGCATTACACCTAAACTGGTTTACTTACTGTTCCCTGAACTTAGCACTCTATCTCTTATTGCTGTTTGTACAAACTGTCCTGTCCCTTCTTCCTGTCCAAATCTTAGCATGATTCGAATCTCTGCTCAGGCTGTGTTTCCTCTAGGAAATTTTCCTTGAAAATGCCAATCTGTTACTTCTCATGCTTCTGAATTCCTGTAGAAGTTAGAGCCTATGTTTAACTTAACATTTAATTATATACAACCGTGTCACCTGTTTCCCCCCATACATTTACATTGTGCCTCTTCAACTTAACTGTAAACCCTTTGAGGGCAAGGACACTGTCTTGTGTGTTCGATCAGTTTCCAACAGACTAAATACAGCATACAGCAACATAAAGCTCACAGTCCGATAACACTTTACATTACTATCTCATTTGGTCCTCACAATATCCCTGTAAGGTAGGCAGTTCAGGTGTTATCAGCACCATTTTACTCCTTCAGAAACTGAGTCACTTGCCATTGTCACAGAGCTAATGAATATCTGAGCAGGAACTTGAGCTCAAAATTCCTATGGTTCTAAGTCTGCTTCTCTTCCCACAATGCCTTGCTACCCACCCCATCTACTGTGGGTACAGAGTACACGATTAATAAATATTTGTTGGCTCAACTTTCAAGAATATTGAATCTAGTGGGGTCATCAGACCCCTTCAGTGGAGATTTGACTAGGAAGTCCTTGGTTAGTGGGGGTATGTAAAACTGCCAGTTTTTTATGTAAAAGAACATGACATTTATGGTACACATAGGCAGGGGTATGCTGGTAAATGTTTAATAATTGGTTCTCCAAAAAAAGCACAATGCACTTTAAAGTTAAATCTTCATTGTTAGCTTTTATTTTATTACTTAAGTGTAGAAAATTTACAAAACAATAAATGAAGCCCCAATTTGTAGCATATCTTCTAGCTGCTCCTACTGAAAAATTAATAGTCTTTATAAGCTAGCCTCAGCATATCCTTGCATGTAAGTAGTAAAGCTGTATGCAAGATAAAACTCCCTGACTTACTTAGGTAGCTGATTTGACCTAGCCCAAGAGCTTTTAGCATGTCTCAACCTTGCATATGGATTATTTAAAAAGAAAAAAAAATACATCACAAGTGGTTACCTTTTTTTTTTACACCTTCACTTCTTCCCAAAGGAAGCAACTTTGATAGAAAAATGAATAAAAATTTGGCTTTTTGCCCAGCATAAATTGTCACACTTCTTGGATGAAAAGGCGGAAGGCTATTTACAAGTTTGCTATTCACTAAAGAATGTAAGCATTTGGACAAAAGAATCAGAAATGAAGTGCAGAGAAGTTCAAGAGGAATAAGGGAGAAGAGACTGGATAGTGGTGGATACTCAAAAGATGTCTTGTGATAAACTCAGAGTCTGTTATCGACTAAATGGTGATAACACTATCAGGGCCAGTAAATTAGTATGTCTTAGTGGATCTTCCCCGGAGTGGAGTCGATGGTATCAACAGGTGGCTGGTGACAGGGTCAGTGCCAGGGAGTTAGTCAGTGTCTGCTACTCTTGATCTGTGGCTCCCAGTGATGAAGTACTTACCCAGTACAATCCCCCTGTAGGGGTAGTGATAATTAGCCTGGGTTACAGCTGGCTGCTATTGACTCTTCCTATTTCCTGGTGGAAGCAGTCTATCCGTGCTGTGAGGAATCACAGAGGGATAAATCACCAGCAGCTCATGTCTCCTGTGGTGTGGAGAGTTGAGCCCTGAAGCTCAGAAGAGTAAATATACAATCTAATGAGATTGGGAAAACAATTAGTGAGAGATCAAATGAAGGAAGGGAACATAAAGGAAGAAAAAGATGATAAACCCAGAATAAGACTTGGAATAAAAAACCCAGTAAGTTTTAGACGATGTTTTGGAAGAAATTAAACAATCTGAGATGTGTCCAATGAACTAACATTTTTATGTTATTGGGAATAAGGGTAGAGAGTAGTCTGTTTTATGTCATATGTAGCAGAATACTACAGAGTGCAAGGTGTTTTGTATTTTCCTCAAACAAATACATTGAATGAGGACAATTAGAAGGCAAAGAAATTTTGTCTCTTCTCTAAGAACTCTGCAATTGCTTGTATTCAGGGATTTTCCCATTGGCAAATGTGCTGGTGGCCAGATGGCTTGGTCCTGCCCCAATTTTAGAACTACTGAGGGTCATTCACCAACATCAGGACTATTAGTTTGGATTTGAAATAAACATTGCCATAGCCAAATGGTAATTGGTTCTGAGATCTTTCAAAGTGATTAAAAGGAAGTTCTCCATCTTGTCTCTCAGGTACCTTCTCAGAGAACTGGTGGTTTTATTTCTTCTCTTTATGACTATCAGAAATAACATGAATTTGTGTTGCTAATGACCCCTCTTTCAAAACATGTTAACATTCCATTTGCTTTAAAAAAATGTTTTTCCACAATTGTGATGTCAGTCTCCAGGTGGATTTAACAAGATTGTTGCAACAGCATAGCAGATATAAGTAAAGATTATTTTGAAGTTTTTATGATATCCAGTCTCTGAAATGTTTAATGTTTTTTAAATGATGATAATGCTAATCTAGTTGTTGCAGTAATTGTTTACCTTGGGAGACATATCTTTGGTCAGATCACAAAATAAAGGTTTAGAGCCTGAAGGGAGCCTAAGAGGTCATTTAGTCCAACTCTCTCATTTCACAGAAACCAAGGCTCAGAGAAGGTAAATGACTTATCTAAAGTCACCTAGGTTCTCAGTGGCAGAGTTGGGATTTTGACCCTTATCCTCTGAGCCCAAATTCAGCCTTCTTTCTACTGTGCTGAAAGATAAAAACCATAATAGAAAAAGAATAGAGAAGGAAAGTATTTTTTTTTGTGTGTGAGATAGAAGGAGGAGAGTCTAGTGAGGAGAAAACCAGCCATATATCAACATGAGAGGATGAGAAATTCTGGACCAAAGATTTTTCCTCTGAGTTGAAAGGGAGAGTGGGAGAGTGATCTGCAAGCTTGCACTTATCTTATGAGAGCAAATGATCCTTCCATTTGGACAACTCAGCTGAAAAAGTCACTTTGTGTCTGGCTCTCAGCTCCTTTAAGATGAATCTAGTGACAGTAAGGTGAAGAGAGCTGGGACAGAAGCTGAACTGAGCTGTATATCATTGGGGTTATTATTGATTTCTGCAGCATTAAAATAAAAACAGCCAATGTTTTGTTTTCAGGATAGTCCCAATTTTTTCCTTCTGTTTTCTTTTTGTCTGTTTTATTGAACTAATTTTACTTTTATGTGAGTATGTCACGGATGGATGGAAGATCCATCCAACAACACTAAAACACATTAAAGTTCTTGGTCATTTCTTTTCCCCTACCTCCCCTTTTTCCCTAGAGGGTCTCAGTATTTGAAAATAAGCAATCCTTTTCCAGAAGAAAAGAAAGGCCAGCCTTCTCCATTAAGCTTTTATAGTATATAAGGCCTGTCCCCTACTCACTAGTGGAAATCATTTTTTTGCAACCTCGCTTATTATTCAGTATATGTCTAGCCTGTCTACGTGCTTCATCCCTTGTCTTAAGGATAGCAGTAAATCCAGAAAACATCTGAGATTTGTTGCCTAGCATACATAACTAGCAGACAGGCAGAAGTCTCTTGTGTTACCAGTAGTCCATCAATTAGGATTTCATGAAAATCAATCTAAAGGCTAAAAATTTGGATAATTTAATTTATTACTCATATCTGAGCCTCATCTAGGTTTAGGCTTAAGTCACTTTCCAGAATTAATCTTTTCCTTAGGTAATTTGAATATAAGAAGCCCTAGTTCAATAGCTTGTTATCTTAGCACTGAGTCTGCCTTGGAGTTGCACTGATTTTAATCCAGATGCCCAATAAATGGGTTCGTCACCCTGAGCCTATTGAGTTCATGCTCAGTGCCTAAAAGCTTACTCACCTGGACATCTCTTGATCATATCTGTCCTTTTTATTCCTATTGTCATTCCCTTAACTTAGGCCCTCATTACTTCTCCCCTTGACAACCAAAATAGACACTTAACAAAAGTTGTCTCCAATCTCTGCCATTGCCAATCTGTCTTTCACACTGCTCCCCAAGGACTCTTCCTAATATACCCCTCTGAACAATCATGCCACTCCGTTGCTCACAAATCATCCGTACTTCTCAGTTGCCTCTAGTGTATCATACAAACTGACATTTGAGGCCCTCTACCATCTGACTCCATCCTCCCTTATAGGCTTTATTTACCTCCTTTGACATACTTTCATGAATCCTTTCACACACACATTAGTGGCAGTGCTTAATGGACTACTAGTGGCAAGATATAGTAGAAAAGAGTGCTGAGTTTGTAAGCAGAGGACCTAAGTTCAAATCAGCCACCACCTCAGTTACCTTGTATGAATTACATGAGCTTCTGCAGGCCTCACTTTCCTCTTCTCTAAAAGGAGAGGATTGTACTAGATGATGCAAGGTCTCTTCCATTCCTAAATCTTTGATTTTGTTCTCCTCTTCTGCCTCTGTCCATCTTCACAATCTGCTCCATGCTTGAAACGGGCTTTGTTTACATCTTCAACCATTGAAACCCTTCTTTCTTTAAAGGCTCAATTAAGGTGCCATCTTTCCTTTACAAGGTCTTCCCTGACTACCCCCCTCCATAGGTTTTTACCCACCCTTGTCTGAAACTTATCTCTCTTTAAATTCATAAATCATGCCATTTGCATTTTTCCTTTGCTCTTATCCCTCTCTACACTTATTTGTATATATATTTTATCACTGTTATCAGTCAATCAACAGGCATTATATTAGGCTAGGTGTTGGAGATAGCAATACAATGACTGAAATGATTCTTGAGATTGAATAGGGGGAAT